AAAGATAGAAACAGAGGGAGAACTCCCAAATTCCTTCTATGAAGCCAGCATCACTCTAATACCAAAATCAGGGAAAGACACAACCATAAAAGAAAACTGTAGACCCAATATTCCTTAATGAACAGAGATGCAAAAATTCTCAGCTGAATACTTGCAAACCACGTAGACACACGTCAAAAAGATCTTCCACCATGATCAAGTAGGCTTCATTCCAGAGATGCAGGGATGGTTCAATATACGCAAGTCAATAAACATCATAAATCATATAAATGGACTCAAAGACTGACCCCTTTTTAAATTAAAACAATTAAAAATTGTTGTGTGTGTATGTATGCACAGAGTGTGTGTGTGTGTGAGAGAGAGAGAGAGAGAGAAAGAGAGAGAGAGAGAGAGAGAGAGAGAGAGAATGTGCCACAGCATACATGTGAGGTTCAGAGAACAGTTTGTGAGAGTAGGTTCTGTCTGAGGGATCAAACCCAGGTCATCAGGCTTTGCAGGAAGCAAGCCATTAATTGCTGATTGATCTCACTGGTCTGAAAAAAGATGAGCATGCCCCTCTTTCCCAGCAAGGACAGGCAGAAATACCACTTTCCTAACAAGGAAGTGGCTTATTTCTATCTTCGTTGTTAGTGTATAGCGGTTCTATATGTCAATGGGTTTCACCGTGATGTCTTCTACCTGTATCAGGTTGTGGTTGTGTTAATACCGTTCTCCCAGCTACCCTTCCTTCCCTTCCCTCTTTCTCTGTTCCTTTACCTTTCCTTTTAGTCTGCCTTCTACTTTAAGATAACCATCTATATTTAACGTTCTCTACATATGAAAGAAAACACTTGAAGCTAAATTTTTCTGTTTGCCTTAATTTGCTTAACAGTGGTTTCTAATTGTATTTCTTACAGATAGCACGAGTTTCACTTTTCTTTATGGCTGAATAATACTCCATTCTGCATATTATCACATTCTGTGTGTCTATCCATTGATGGGCCCTGAACTTGCTTCGTCTTAGCTGTTGTGACTAGTGCCACCGCAGACAGGAGCATGCAGACACCTCTGGGGTAACCGTGGCTCCTGCGGGTACATCCCTACCAGTGTTTAGCTGGGTCACCTGCTAGTCCTGGTTTTAGGCTTTTAGGTCTTTCTGCATTCTCAGCAGTGTGTGATTTTCCTCCATGTCTTCCTCATCCTCAGTCACATTTCTTGTTTCTTATTTTCTTACAAAAATTTTCCTATAATAATCAGCCTGAGATGAGGTAGAAGTTTAATGTAGCTTTGATTTACATTTACCCAAAGATGTAGAGCATTTCCCATGTACTTATTCAGCATGTGTAACTCTTTTCGTAAAGTCCATTTGCCCATTTGTGGTTGGGATATTTGGTCTTTTGGTGTTTTGAGCTCTTTGCATATTCTGTACATCAATCCCTGCCATGCTTATGTGCAAAGAACTTTTTCCATTCTGTAATTTGTACCTTCACTCTGCCGTGTCCTTTGCTATATAGAAGATTTTTAGTTTGATAGATTTCAATGATCAGTTCTTGCTTTTATTTTCTGAGCTACGGAGTCCTAATCAGTAGAATAGTGGCTGTGACCAATATATCCTTTATTATGTTGAGGCATGATCCATCCACACCTGGTTTATTCATCTTTAAAAACCGTGAAGGGATACTGAGTTTAGTTAAGGTTTTCTCTGTGTATGTTGAGATGTTCACATCTGCTCATTTTACCTTATGTGCTATGTTGTTGGTATTGGCACACGGGGAGCCGTCCTTACACCTTGGAATGAAGCCATCTTGAACATGGTGTGTAATTTTTAATTATGCTGTTGAATTTGATTTGCAAGTATTTTATTGAAGATTTTGTATCTGTTTCCATTCAGGATATTGATCTATAGTTCCTCCCTCACTCCCTCTCTCCCTCTCTTCCTCCCGCCCTCCCTCCCTCCCTCCTTCCCTCCCTCCATCCTATTTTTGGATCAGGCTTTGTAGAATGAGATTGAAGTTGGAGCAGTCCTTCCCTTTCTGTTTTACGGAATAGTTTGAGGAACACCAGTATTTTTAAAAAATCTGGTAGTATTCAGCTGTGAATTTGCCTGTTCTTGGGCATTTCTTTGTTAAAAGTTTTTTTTTTTTTATCACAGCTTCATGGATCTGCATGGGACTTAAAATCCAGAAACCATTAAAAATAACACTGATAAGTTCAATTACATAAAAACAGTAAGCTTCTACATGTAGAGATGCATAATGCCATAGGCAAATGACAAAAATGGGCAAAACATTTTGGTGGTTCTCAAATAAGAAAGAGCTTGAGGAAACTGAAAAGAAATAGTCCAGATGTTCAACAGGAGATAGTCAATATACTGTCTTTAGAAATGTTTTCTTTTTTGAATTTTCATTTTATGTGTGTGTGTTGCCTGCATGTATGTAACTGCACCTATGTCGTACAGTGCCTGTGGAGGACAGAAGAGGTATCGGATCCCCTGGAACTGGAGTTACAGACAGTTGTTCTCTGCCATGTGGGTGCTGGGATTTGAACCCAGGTCTTCTTCAAGAATATCCAGTGTTCCTAACTGCTGAGCCATTGCTCTAGCTTTATCAGTGTTGTCTTAAACACGGAAAAGTGCTTAACTCTTATCATATAAAATGTAATTTGAAATTATGTAAGGTACCATTTTTAACCTGTCGTGTTAGGACAAAGCCAGTGATTTTTTGTGGGTGAGGCTGTGGGGAATTTTTGTATTTTGCTGGGGGTGTGTGGGATTTTAACCATTGCTGGCTGCATCTCCATGCATTTCCATTTCACAGAACACATCTGCTCTTGAGACAGTTACTCTGTAGTTGCACCCGAGTCCGTGTTCTCTGGCATACGTACAAGATTATTTGTTGCAGCATGTTTTTCGGTAGTGAAAGATTAAACAAATTCCAAGGTCGTATGGACCCACCCTCACAGCGGTGCCTTGTGCAGCTGTACTGCGAGTGGGGATGGCCTCTGTGCGTGGCTTGGGAAGAAATGTGCACATAACAGTGATGTGTCCACAGTGTCTATGATAGTTTTGTGTAAAAGGGTCACCAATAGAAAAGTTCTGTCCTGGCTTATAGTTGCATGAAGATGGGCTCAAAGAAGAAAAGAGCTAATGCTAAAACATGGATGATTACCTGTTATGTCCCGGGTAGGATGCATTAACCTCCAGCGTGCTGACACCAGTGTACATGTCATCCCTCTAGGAAGGAGCACAGCCTTGAGGGATGGTCTTCTGGTCTTCTTCCTCCTGGTTCTTCCCCTTATCGTCGTTGCCGCATTCCTCTTCATCAAGAGAGATCAACTGTGGAAAAGCTACTTCAGGAAAAAGAGATCACAAACATATGAGTACTTGGATTTTTAAAAAATAGTTTATTATTTTTATTTTATGTGTACAAGTGTATTGCCTGCATGTATGTGTTGTGCAATGCCACAGAGGTCAGAGAGGGCTTTGGATTCTCCTGGAACTGGAGTTAAGGACGGTTCGTAGCCACCATGTGGGTGCTGGGAATCAAACCCAGGTTCAACCCAGCAGTCAGTGCTCTTAACTGCTGAGCCATCTCTCCAGCACCGTACTTGGATTTTTAAAAAGCTGTATTAAATAATGTAAAGTGATTAGTAATGATGATATAACTCAGAAGTTGGCAATCCTTTACAAATAGGATTCTATGATCTCTTGCTGTTCTTTTGATGGGAGAAACTTGGGTTTAAGGGGTGGTGGTGAGCCAGACGTGATGGTGGCACATGCTTGTGGTCCAAGAACTTGGGAGGCTGAGGCAGGAGGATTGTGAATTCAAGGCTGGTCTGGGCTACCTAGTGGGACAGTGAGTCCTTTCTCCCCACATATTAGGTACAGAAGGTTTCAAAGACACCCCTTACACCAGATACCTGCCCTCCCGCACTCAGTTCTGTTATTGCTCTGAAGACACTTCTTACACCAGATACACCCCCCCCCGCCCCCGCAGTCAGTTCTGTTATTGCTCTGACAGTCATCCCGAATGTCTGGTGCCTTGTTCTTGTCCGTTGCTCACTGTCTCTTGCTTTTTTGAGGTGTGCTGTCAGCTTCAGTGCTTAGCATGTTGTGGCCATTCTTGCTTCTCCTCACTGGCTCAGGTCTGACTGGCCAGTCCATGTGGAAAGTTTGAGTGTGATTTTCAGTTGTAGTCCTGTGATGGGTCTCTGGGCACCTCTGCTTAGTTGACTTGCTGGCCATCAGCATATCAGTGCTTAGCTGATATGCTTTTGGCCAGACTATTTGCCACCTCCTAATTTTCAGAGTGACCACTCAAAGTGTATATGCAGCGTATTAAGGATCGACTTTTATTTTTCTACAATTTAAAGAAATTTGGAGGAGAAAAGTTAGAAAATACCTAAATTTCTTAAAATTTCAGGTTACTGAATTCTGAAATGAACTTAGTAAATCCTTTTATTACAATAATGATTAGATGTATGTGAAAGCTGTTACAAACACTAGAAACCTCTGTTCCCATCCTGGTTGGCATTCAGATTATCATTATGCATTCGAGAAAATGAGAACCGTATGTAATGAGTCATGTTCACATGTTTTAACATTAACTCAAAGGTATCACATCTTTCAGATCAGATGGAAAAAATCAAGCAAGTGTTTCCAGACAGCCTGTGAGTTCTCGACCTGTCCCTCCAGTGGCCCCTGCTAGAGAAGCTGTAAGTTTAAAATTAAGAATTCTTTTACTGTGTTAAACTGGGAATGTTGGCGGATGTTCAGTTGCCTAGCATAAGATTCTAGGTTTGATCATCAGTATCAAAAACAAAGGAAGCATTAAAAAAGGGTCACATAGACATGAGCACAGACAATCCAAGAATTGGGGAATATTGCAGCTGGCTCTCAAAGGACACCAGCAGAGTCCGGGCTCTGAGGCTGTGGGAAAGGACTTCTGGTCATTCAGAATCTCCTGCCTTGAGAGGCGGGTTGAGAGCCAGGGCCTCATCTTTCTGTTTTCAGTACCTGCTTCCCTGGGTACCAAAGACTCCTGAACTGGCCTGGTCACCTTGGCTGTAGCGTTCATCCTTGTTCCTGAACGTGGATTACAGAGTACTAGGACAAGGGTGTTACTGATGAGTTATATGTAGTGCTGTTTAAGAATGCTCTGAGTCGGGTATGGTGGTGAACGCCTTTAATCCCAGCCCTTGATAGACAGAGGCAGGAGGATCTCTGTGAGATCGAGGCTAACCTGGACTATATAGCGAGTTCCAGGCCAGCTAGGGTTGCAGGGAGACCCTCTGTCAAGAAACAAAAGAATTCTTTGCTATTTTACGCCTTGGTCTGCCTCTCTTAGCATCCCCTTGTACTTATCCCTGTTGTGACATCCAGCTGTGTGTCATAGTCACTGTTACTACGCTGTGTGATGTCATTCTAAATCCATTTCCGTCACCAGATTCAAATTTCTGAACACTATGAAGAAGGCTGGGATGAGCATTCTGTAGATATTTTTATTATGTATGTTTTGTGTTCCGTGATTGCTCTGATATAGTAATTACTAGTCATGTATGATGATGTAAATAAACTTGATTTAACTTACATACTATTAAGAACTTGGTTCCTGGGTTTTGCTAACCACATGGAACATTGTCTGTGGTGTCAGCTGGCACAGAGCATTTTCATGTCCAGAGAATGCTGCTGAGGGCACAGACCAAGGCATTGACCAGGACACAGACCAGGGCACAGATTAGGGCACTGACCAGGGCACAGACCAGGACACAGACCAGGGCATTCACTGACTAGGACACAGACCAGGGCACTGACCAGGACACAGACCAGGTCATTGTCCAGGGCATAGACCAGGGCACAGAACAGGGCAAGAGGAGTTAAGCTACTGGACTAAAGACAGCTTTTCTGGAAATTTCCAGCTGTACCACTTCCGATTGTATCTTGAGTGCTGTGCGACCATTTCCACTGACCTGTATCTTTGCCAGTATGTGGTATTACCAGCCTTCCAAATTCTTTCCAGTTCAAAATCCTTGTCACTCATTTGATAGATGTATGAACTGAAGTCTGAACACACACACACAAGTCTCCTCTGCCTTCTTTTCATTTATTCAGGGAAGCAGACACCCTTATGCCTTATCTTCATCGTGGCAGTTTTCCACGTCACTGTGTACACAAGTGGACCACGTGGTCCTTATGCTACTTACAAGTCATCTGCATTCCTCTTCACCCTTCACTAACGTTTTCTTATTTTATTATGGCAGAATGATTTAAAATGTCATCTTAACCATTTTAAAATACTTTAAATGGTAAAACCACCATTAAATTTATCATGTTAACCATTTTCATGTATATGGTGTGGTGATGTTAAATATATTTTTATTATTGTGCAACAGATCTGTAGGTATGTGACACGATGCTGATGCTGTCTACCCTAGTTTCTTTTCCCCACCGACTCTAGCACTTTGTCACCACCTTTCAACATTATGTTTCAATGATTTTGATTATGTATTTCATAGAAATGGGGCTGTTTGTCCTTTTGTGACTGGCTTATTTTACTCAACATAATGTACTTGATATCCAACCAGGTTTATAGCATTTGGGAAGAGCCCCTTATTTATTTATTTATTTATTTTTTTGGTCTTTTTGAGACAGGGTTTCCCTGTAGCCCCAGCTGTCCTGGAACTCACTGTGTAGACCAGGCTGGCCTTGTACTCACAGAGATCCCTCTGCCTCTGCCTCCCAAGTGCTGGGTTTAAAGGTGTGTGCTACCACACCCGCCCAAGAGCCCCTGATTTTAAGGCTGTGTAATATTCCAATGTAGGTAAGAACTATATATTTGTATAAGTTGCTTTTTCATTATTTTGACAGAATACCTAAGCAAAATAAGTTAGGGGAAAAGTTATTTTCCTGAGCATGGTGGCACAGGTTTTTAATTGCAGCACTTGTGAGACAGATAGGCAGATCTCTGTGAGTTTTTGGCCAGCCTGGTTTATACAGCTAGTTCTAGGCCAGCCAGGGCTACATAGTCAGACCTTGGCTCAAAAAGTAGAGAGAGGCAATAAAAGGCTAGAGTAAGGTCCAGTTCCTTAGACCCACTTCACAAACTTTCTAGAACTTCCGCACATAGCCCTGCTGGCACTAGGTACTCCAGACATGCCCTGTGTGGTCTTTCAGGTGAAATCAGAGTGTACACATGAACTCACACATAAGCATGGACATCACACACAAGCATATACACACACACAAACACACAGAGACACACACAGACAATCAGTGGGCTTTAGGTGTGCAGATTTACTTAAATCCATAGCACTGGAGTTTTGATAGGGATCGCGTCAACTCTGTAGGTTGGTTGGGTAGTGTGGTCCTTTAACTGTATGGCTACCTGTTGATTCAAATCTTCTTGCTTGTTAACAATCTGTTTAGATTCTCTCTTTCTTACCATTCATTCTTGAGAGGCTGTGTGCTTCTAGAAATGTACTCACTTTTGAGACCCATTCTGTTGGCCTGTAATTGGTCATAGTCCTCTGTTATAGAGCCATTTGTCCGCTTTCATTTCTGAGTCATCTTGTTTTTTCTCCTTAATTTAGTGGATCAGTTAATTTTCCTGTGGCTATGATAAAATGCCCTACGAAGCATCTTAAGGAAGGAAGTGTTCGCTCTGGCTCATGGTTCGAGGATATAGTCCATCGTGTTAGGGAAGTGAAGGCAGAAAGAGCTTGAATCAGCTGAGCCCCATCCACAGTCCAGGAGGAGAGCATTGGGTGCTCATGCTCAGCCACTTCCTCCTGTTGGTGCTGTCTGTGATCTAGGCCTAGGAGTGGTGCTGCCCTCCCTTAGGGTGTCTCCCCACATCAGTATCAAGATAATCCCTCACAGCCGTGCCTGGAGGCTGGTCTCCTGTTGATTCCAGGTCCTGTTAAGCTGATAGCACCAACCATCACAACTAGCTAACTGCATTTTGATTGTATCTTTTCACAACAACTTTTAAAAAATGTTTTCTGATTTATTTTTATTTTATGTGTATGAATGTTTTGCCTGCATGTATGTAAGTGCACCCAAGTATGCGATGCCTGTGGAGATCAGACATGGGCACCAGACCCTCTGGAACTGGCGTTATGTACGGTTGTTAGCTGCATGTGGGTCCTGGGAACCGGATGGAACCTGCAAGAGCAGCCAGTACTCAACCACTGAGCCACCTCTCCAGACCCAAAACACCAAGTCTTCTTACAGGAGCAGCACAGACAGACAACGTTTAAAACGTGTACTTCCATGTAGGACAACTCAGGAAGAGTAGTGAGTGGACGGACTCTACCAGACGGCACAAATGTCCAGATGACTCGGAGTTACCGTCAGTAAGAAATTCACTTATTTAAAAAAGTCCAAATGCTGCCATTGTCCAGAAAAATTTGTTTTATTCATTATTATAGTGATGAACTGTTGGACCTTGTTCACTGAGACATTTTGGCTTTCAATCGTGCTCTACACCACATTTATTTAAAATGCACACACGGAAATACCCCTGCCTGATCTCTGTCCCCAGCTTTTCCACTCACAGTCAAGTACTCAGGTGCCTTTGGTCCTCATGGAAAAGAACATCTAACATTCAGAACCACGAAAATGGGAAGAGGGAATTCTCTGGTTTAAAGAATCACTGTAGATTCTTAAGCCCGTTCTCCATATGTGACATGCTAGCTGGATATGTCACGTTTGACATGGATAGCACACAGGTCAGTATCTTCTAAAAGGCCACACAGGGTGGCCTCATTGCCTCCTGTAAAACACCAGTAGCTTCACTCTGGAAGCGCGGACCTGTTTTGAAGTCCTGAACCATTTCTGGCACTAGATGCTGGAAGGGGAATTTGCCAAGTTGAGCGGACTTCTGATAGGGTCTGGTGGAGAGCCACAGTCGGTGGCCTGTAGCGATGAGGTTTCTTTACCCCTGTGTGGAGGCTGCACTCCTGCTAGTGACTTCTGTAGCTGGTTATTTCCCAGGTGGTTTACTGCAGGAGGATTGGGGGCAGGTTGCTTCATAGGAGGTAGTTGTAGACATGGCTGTGCTAACCCTCTTCTTCTCAGGCTGGAGCCTGGCAACTGCAAGGGGGGCTGGCCTTGGAGTGGAGGCTGGGGCACAGCCTCAGCTCTGTTGTCATTCATCTTTTCTGACTTCATTTAATTATACCCTGATCTTTCTTATTTCTTCTACCAACTTTATCATTATATAATTTCCTTCTTCAAGTTTTTAGGCTTAGTTTATTCTTATTTTCCTAGGTTTTAAAACTATGATATTAGGTTGTTTTCTCCTTTTAAAAATTTTAATTTAATTTTTTTGATCCTTTTGAGACAAGGTCTTGATGTAGCCCCAGCTGGCCTGGAACTCACTATGTAGACCAGGGTGGCTTTGATCTCATAGAGATCCATATGACTCTGCTTCCCAAATGGTGGGATTAAGCAGGCGCCACCATGCTCGGCTTGGCTTCTCCATTTTAAATGGCATTTCCCCCTCTTAAATACAGTTATTTATTGGCATAAGTTTGATTTAAACTTCTTAGAATTGCCTTGGATGGATCCGTGCTTCATTAATTTCAGCTTTACATTTTTCCAGCCATCAGTAATTTATTTTTTTAGTCTAAACACATTCAAAATGGAAACACAAAAGAATACTTTGCACCTGAAACAATTAAGCTAGATTCCACTAGCTAGATTCTACTGCTTAAAGCATAAGCAGTGAAGATGGTGACCCATTGTCCTGCAGCCAGGGTGGTAAAGCCAATTTGGTTGCAATAGTGTCATAAAGGTAGAATATTATCATCCAAAATAAAATAAAATCAGCCAATAACACTAATGGTAGATGAGATTTTTTACTGTTGCCCTGAAAAGGGGACAGAGTGCTGAAAGTCCCCATCACTGCAGGTGAACGATCACCACAGAAACTTCTCCGTGTGATATTTTGGTGTTTCCTTGGTGGTGTGCAGAGACTAACATTTGTCATGTCGTTTGTTACCAGAACAGTTTTCATGGGCTATAAGGCAATATCTTGACTTGGCAATATGTACGTTTTTTTTTTTTTTTTTTTTTTTTTGTGTGTGTGTGTGTGTGTGTGTGTGTGTGTGTGTGTGTATCTACACACACATAGACACACAGACAACCCCCCCCACACACACACCGTAGGAAGGAGTAGAGTAACTGAAGGAAAATGCACTTGGGGGTTACCACTGACAGCAAAACCACTTTCTTCCATTTTGGAAGCACGAGTTTTTTTCCGAGAATTCCACGCTTTCTGATGTTCAGCGCTTGTGCTTACTAGAAAATTACTTTGGCATTTTGAAGCTTTTCTCCAAATTACTTTTGAGTAAGTGGTTTATTATCACGTCTATGTTCTTTGTCTCAAGATATGCTCACAGCTCTCTTTGGAAGACTGATGTTTCCTGATCTTCTGTCGCACAGTCTGCAGATAGTTGGAAGTAGGGCACTGAAGGCCCCTGTTCTCTGTATGGCTGTCTGTCTGTACTGCAGATAATTAGTGTTTGCTTTATCTCAGCTGCCTTGTCAAGGAAGACTATTAGGACTTTTCTACCCCATGAAATCTACTTCTAATGCTAGAAACATATTTATCATATTAACAATATCCCAGTATTAAAAAGAATAGATTTACAGTACAAGTACTTTATAGTGCTTTATAGGTACTTTATAGATTTGGTAAGAGGTTTGTAGACTATTTCATTTAAAATATATTGACATCATTCAGTTAATTTGATCCAGCATTATTGTACTTTAGAATTACTGAATTTAAAAATGTGGCCTTAAAAGGAGAAAACGTAACATGCCGTTGTAAAGTTACATTATTGAACGCGCAGAGAGCTTTTCCTTTCCCTGTCATGGAGATCAAACCTGGAGCTTTGTGCATGGTAGGATAGCCCTGTGCTGCTGAGCCCCAGACCAGGCTCATTTAAGCAGAATATTTTAAAATGCCTGCATTCTAAGTAGTTGTTAGTATATTATCTGTTAGTATGTCTGTTAGTGTATAATCACTTTAATGCAAAATAACATTATACCTAAAATGTTTTATGTCTACACTATAATAATAACCTATTCATTTTTTTTCCTTTTTAGCCTGTGCATACAAACAGATTTCCAGTACCAACCTATGCAGCCAAGCAGCCTCCACAGTTTCCATCAAGGTTGGAAGGGAATGGGCTTGACCACATTAAAATCCAGGAGTTGATGCCTTTTGGTTACCTTGTATTTAAATTTGACTTAGGGCAAAGTATTTAGGCAATTTAATTAGGAATAAGTTTAGCCTAGAACACAATTTATAGAAAAGCTTTTTAGGAACTTTTATATAAATTTTGTTATTTTAGTCAGAGAGGAATTCTAAAGAAGACTGGACCAAATCTAAAGTGAACTACTATTACAGCTTTTGGTGTGTATAGATTTCAAGATCAAGGGCCTTTAAAATAACCAGCACTGGGAAACTTGATGGGTTGCCCCCGCCATCCCATTGAGAACAGATAGAGAGGCTACAATATAAGAATGCATGTGTTTGGATGTGTAGGAGACTGCAGAGGTAGGACATAGGGACAGGCCATGTGAAGAGGGACATTTTTTGTTACAGACGCATCCACCCATTCTGAAAATGACAAACAAGAAATGTGGGAATTGAAGAGAGCTCTCAAGGAACTCTTAAGGGTCAAGGGGTCACAATTGGTTCTGCTAGGAGGGGGACTCTTGGCAAACTTCCAAGGTTTTGTTTGGAGACCCAAGGACAGGGATGGTCATTACCCTTGAACCAATTTCTTTTTTAGAAAATATTTTATTATTTTTATTTTTGCATATGAGTGTATTGCTTGAGTGTAGGTCGGTGTACCCGTGTTGTGCAGTGCCTGCAGAGGTCAGAAGAAGGTGTTGGATCCCCTGGAACTGGAGGTCATGGTTGTTAGCCTTCATGTGGGGGCTGGGACTCAAACTTCTGCAAGAGCAGCCAGTGCTTTTAACTGCTGAGCCATCTCTCCAGCCCCTTGAACCAGTTTCTAGTTTTTTCCCATCCACCAGGGCCAGGGATACAAGAATAGAAATTGTGACCGAAATGAAGAAGCAAGGTGACATTAAGGGAATCAGAGGTATGGTTAATGATCATCAGACACAGGTTTTTAAATAATTCTGACTATGTTAATGGTCCAGATTGAGAATTTCAGCACAGAACTAGAAACTTTTAAACAAAGTATAGATTCTAGAATTTGAAAGCATTAGGACTGAATTTAAAGGCTCAGTAGTCAAACTTGGTAAGAGAGGTGGAAATGGTTGACTATACTTCGTACCTGTGGCAGGTGTCTGCCTTGTCCCTCTCCTGCACCATTACTTATTCCAGTTGCATTTCATGCATAATGCTTGTTCAGGAAGAGTACCTTGGAATCCAACAGGGTGTGGAGAACATGTAAAGTGAGAGACAGTTATCTATAGGTAGTGTTCTAGTGTGGCAAGGGATACTTGTGCTGATGCAGAGGTTAAGGATGGGTGCCCACTGATTAGAGTCTGAGGATTGAGGTGCTTATATGCAGGTATAAGGGCATGTTTAATCATCAGATTTAGGAGTTGTAAATTCAGCCCTGTGTATGTGAACCTAGAGCTAGTTTACACTTTGCAGCAACTCGATGACCATAATTTTTAAAGATTTGTTTTGCTTTTTTTTGTGTGAGTGTTTGCCTTGTGTGTGTGTATGTGCACCGCCCGCATGCCTCATGCTGACAGAGGCCAGAATGGGCATCTAATGCCCTGGAACTGAAGTTACAGATGCTAGGAGTTAACATGTAGGTTCTTGGAACAGAACCCAGGTCTCCTGCAAGAGCCATCTCTCCGGTCCCATCCATAATTTTAAATAAAACCTAGTCTAAATTATAATGAAGTAAGCAATATTAAAATGGAAAAGACTGAACAGCTTAGGAGTAGGACTCCCCCTTCCCCAGTAACCATTAACTGCCTCAGGCTCCTCCCACCTCCATGATGGGATGTTGATGGACCTAGTCTTGAGCAAGTGTAGTCTGGGGAGCGCCCAGTTCTATAAATTCATGGGTGCAGCAGTCACATCCTGCCCAGAAGGCAGCACTTCCCAGCACTCCTGAGCTTTTACATTCTGTCTGCTCTCTCCTGCTCAGTGTTCCCTGACACTTGGGTGATGCAGATGTCCCATTGAGAACTGAACACTTGCAATCTCATATTCTTAACATTTTAAACAATCATGAGATTCTGCTTTCAATGACACCCCGTCAAAGAATCTTCTCTGACCAAGGCTGAGAGAACAACACAAATCTATGGCTGTAAGCATAAATAATATGGAGGGCAGTTGACGTGTCCATTCAACAAAACATCAGTAATAGTTTCCCCACTAGAGTCTATGAATCCCCCAGCCATGGTCATTTGACCAGGTTTAGAGCGCCAGGCACGATTTCCTTCAAGTGGAGCAGCCTCCAGTCCAATTAGGAAGCCGTGGTGGCTCCGCAATGGTCTTGCTACTGTTGCATCAGTGGGCACATCGTGCAGGCAAGTTAGTGTTGCAGCATGCAGGGTCCACAGCTGGGTGAAAACACTGATGACCCTTCTCTCCTAGTCATCTGCAAAGCACACGCCAGGAATATGAACAGTAGCCAGCAGGGAGGAAGCTTCCAGTTCAGATCTGGATTGATTTCTCCCTGCTCTGCAGTCTGCATGTTGTCTTCAGCAGTAGGGTTTTACATATGGCTTTGGAGGCCTCTGGAGCCACCCTGAGTAACAGCTCATAGGGAGCCACATGCATCACTAGAACTGTTATTTAACAACCATGCCTTCGGGCAGCAGTGTTATCCAGCTGTGCAACCTGTTCATTCAGACCCATTCTCTTTTATTTTTTAAATTATAATTTAAATTAGCTTACAACATAGTAGGTTCCCATAGACGTTTTCCATCCACCCTTAACTTTGATGAACTCTCTCCAGCAGCCTCTTCCTCTCCCTCTCCCCTCCTTCTCCCCTCCCCCACCCCTACTTAACCCTTTCCATCATCTTGTCCCTACTTCCACCTTCACGTCCCACAGATTGTTTTGTTCTCTGTATTGAGCCCAGTTGGAGTAAGACACAGAATACTTATCTTCCCTCCCCCTTTCCTCCCCGCCTCCCTCCCCTTTCCTGTCTCCCTCCCTCCCCTTCCCTGTCTCCCTTCCTTTCCCTCCTTTGCTCCTTTGTAGTGCTAAGGATTGAACTCAGAATTTCACATGTATTTGGAAGTGCTCTGCATTTGAGCAATTACCCAGCCCCTGTTTATTCATTTATTTTTTGGTCTTTTTGAGACAGGGTCTCCCTGTAGCCCCAGCTGTCCTGGAACTCACTATGTAGACCAGGCTGGCCTTGAACTCACAGAGATCCGCCTGCCTCTGCCTCCCTAGTGCTGGGATTAAAGGCGTGCGCCACCACACCCGGCTCCCTGTTTATTTTTTATGATTGAGACTAATCCTTTGTCTTGACTGCAGAGAGACTGCTCTGAACCAGGGCTTTTCTTCTGTATGCAGTTGGCTTTTATTTTTATTATTCATTCTTGGAGAATTTCATGCATATATACAATGTATTATGTTCCTATCAATCTTCTGCCCACCCCCAACTCCTCCCAGATGCCCAGTCTCTCTCCCATGTCTTTTTTTCTCAGCCCCTGAGTCCAATCATGGATGTCTTTGTGTGCATAGGTGTCAGGCCAGCCACTGGACCACAGCTGCCCATAAATGTTAAGGGCACAGCAGAAGTGCTTCTCTACTTACTGACTTCATTTGCCTTTTACAGTCTGAGTTGTGAATTTCATGGACATTTCTTCTTTTTAAACCATAGAAACTAGATCCTTCACACATCATTGATTTTGATTATGAAATAACATTAATGTAAGGTAGCAACAGACTGAGAGGGTGACTGAGTGGGAAGAGTGCTTGCCCTGCAAGCCCGAAGACACGAGTTCAAATCCCTCGCACCCACTTATAAGTGGAGCAGGGTGTGGTGTCTGCAACAGCAGCACTGGGGAAAGGAGCAGGGTAGAGACAATCTGTGGGGCTGTTTGACCCCTGGCCTCTGTGGACACATGTACATATGCACACACCTCTCCACCCCCCCAATTTAGGTTAATTGGAAGCATTTAACCACCAAGTGTTGTACAAAGTGCCCTTACCTATTGTCAGAGTGGTTGAGGTCATGTCACGTTGAGAGCGTCACGAACCCAACATTGTTTCATTCAGTCCATGCTTTCTAGTAACTGTTTTTCTCCCTCACAGGCCACCTCCACCACAGCCAAAAGTATCATCTCAGGGAAATTTGATTCCTGCTCGGCCAGCTCCTGCACCCCCTTTGTATAGTTCCCTCACCTGATTTAGATCCTTTTTTTTTCAAATGTCTTCAGGGAACTGAGCCAATACTTGGGTTTTTTTTTTTCTGATTTTTTCTTGAAAAGCCTATCTCTTCCAACTATGAATGAAAACAAACTACCGCCAACCAAACTTTACTAACTCGGAAACAGAGTGGGGACTTGAGAAATGCAGGCTGTGCAGACACAGGGAGTGTTGCCATCATTAAGATGTCTTTTTCAGTCACTTAGTGTAGATACATTTGACTGTGTTATTGTAATGATTCTCAAATTAACTGAATTGGTTTAATGTTTGTCATTGTGTGCTTAAATGTAATCCTGAATCTTTGACCTCAGTTATTAATGTTCTGGTTGAACATGTGAACATGTCTTAACCTATGAAAAGTGACGGATTAACTGCAGACAGTCTGACACTCTTTCTGCATGCAATGACAGTGACTGTGTACGGAATCTTGTGTCATCACTACACGGATAAGCACATACTCTGTCTTGAGAAGATCACATGAGATCCACAACTGCACTACCACAGTATATTTTGCAAGTAGGGAATACGCTGGGTATTTAGTTACTGGCTTCCATTTTTAGGATCTTTCCATTTATAATGACTGATTAATTTCTCTTATGCATCATGTTAGCACATGGCACTGTTTTACAGTAGCATTACTTTAATTCAAGTACAGGCTTGAAGGTACGAGGTATTTAATGAATCTAATCACGTAGGTGTTGGTTGTGGCTTTAATAAAGCAGGAACACTTAAAATGTCTTCCATCAGTTGAGCAGTTACAAAACCACTTGATAATTCATGAGCACTTTAAGTCTAAAGTTGGAATTTTCAAAGCTTGACACTAAGCCATTTAGGATGTTTACATTTACTAAGGTGTGCTGGATCATGTCTCTTCTGACTAATGTTTTCCTAGGATTAGGCTGGAAAGGAAGAAAAGGTCTCCTTGGATGACTACAAAGTCAGTGTGCTGTCTGAATAATTAGCTCAGCTATTAAAATGAATGTTTACTATGAAAGAAATGGTATTGACATTAACATTTTAAATGCTCAAAAATTTTCATAATCTTTCGTAAAGAAGTTTAATAATAGGTATATTAACTGAATTTCATTAGTTTTTTAAAATAATATTTTGGTTTGTATATATATACATATACAAATAAAACATTTACAAATAAAATACTTGACATTTCCTTTTTTGTCTCCATTTCTTTTTAAATACACAAGTGTTTGTAATTTCTTATATTGAGTCAAACTTTTGCCAAATTGTGCAAAACGGCTATGTGTAATGAAACATATTGGGGGCTGGAGAGAGGGCTCAGCAGTTGGAAGCACTGGCTGCTCTTGCAGAGGAGCTGGGTTCGATTCCCAGCACCCACGTGACAGACAACAATTGTCCATAACTCCAGTTCTAGGGGATCTGACACCCTCTTCGGACCTCTGCAGGCATTGCACAACATGGGTGCACTTACATACATGGAAGCAGTGTAACATGCACAAAAAATAAAATGTTTTCTAAAAACAGAAGACAGAAATGCCGGTTTTCTCAAGAGAGTACATTATTTTAACAATCAGGTACATTCTGACAGTTGTGAACTGTCCCAAAAGAGGGTTCTTCATCCCAGGTCAAGTCCGAAGGGTTGACGTGTGGCTACAAAGTTCATGTCTTCTTCATCCAGCTGCAGCTTTGCAGTCAACAGTGTATCAGCTATGAACTTCCTGCCACTCTAGGAGTTAGACGACTGTTTGGATCTTTGACCAGGTGAAGTTTTTTCTGAAAGGCTGTTTTATCTAAACATCTCCGCTCGTTTCCTACAGTCCCTATGCTCTTCATGTATGTTTGCTCTGGAGTGTTGTAGAATGTAGTTTAGTGAGAAAGTTCTTACATATGTTCCTGCTTGTACTGTCTATGACCAAAAAATTCTGAAATTTTTAAATAAGAAAAGATTTAAATTTGATATCACTGACTGTAGCTTCAAAAATTGACCTAGTCCAGGGCCTCTAACTGTACAGTGAAGTATGATGCAAGTTTTCTGAGCAGACATCTCATTGTATTTTTTTTTGTGTTTCTCTGTGTATGCATGCACGTCCATATGCACGTGGAGGTCAATAGCCTCTCATTCTTCATATGCCTTTCATGGGTTCTGGAGCTGGCCAAGTAGGCTGGGCTGGTCAACAGGCCAGTGAACTTCAGAGGTCCAACTGTCCCTGCCTCCCCAGAGCTAGATTACAAGTGAACCCAGATTTCTACCTAGCTTTTGTTCCCCTTTGGGTTCTGGAAATTAAACTTGGGTCCTTACGCTTTCAACCCTTACTGACAGCTTTATGCTCAGCCCAGAAACAAAATTTTATTATACTTCATAAAGTTTACTGAAACATCATTTGGCAGGTGCTCTATTAGGAACCGAGAACCTAAAAATAAGTTCTAGGTGAGTATTTCCTGCCATTTGAAGTATTTGTGTTCTGGAGACTGCCAAACGCAAGTAAGCGTAATAGTAATCGGGGATTGGTGTATTTTGTGGGGTTTGTTTTATAGCCCAGGTTGGCCTCAGACCTTGCCCCCTGAATGCTGCCATTATGGAGAGATGCCACCAGCATAAGGTTTGTTATAGTAAAGATATAAACAAGGGGTTAGGAGAGAGGAGGAACAAAAGTACAAAACAAATCCATGCAGGGTAACTAACTCATCTGAACAGTGGCTATAATTGGTTTCATTGCCTGGAAATACGTTGAAACCCATTTGGCTCGGCTGGCCTGAAAGCAGAGTTGGTCTGGAACGGGTTGGGCCTATGGGAACAGAGCTGGGGTGCTGCGGTGTTTGCTCAGGCCTCCAGCTGGTGTGGGCTGCTACTGTCACTGCTGAGGCCTCTAAGCAGTGTTTGCACACGGCCTTCTACGTTGCTTGTTTGCTTCTTAGTATGAGAAGCCAAGTCATTCTTTGAGATTTTACGTGTCAGTGAATGCATTCTAGATGGTCGCTGGGATGGACGAGGCTCTGAGATCAAGTAAGGCAGCGTGGAAGGAAGCCTGGGGTCAGGCAGAAGCATCAAGGGTGGAGAAATGGGTCTGACACTAGAAAAACTTAAATGCGCCTCAGGCTAGGACGTCGGGAACACAGGTACTGCAGGAAGCCAAGGATCTTCTGTCCCCGCATAAATTGTGTTGAGCTTATCATGTAACGATGCTACATGAATTTTAGCCACAGTCCGGTGGAAAACCACAGTGGAAGAAAAAGCGTGAGGAAAATGCAGCGAAGTCTCCAGAAACGAAACCACTTTGACTCTTTCCTACACTTTGCTAAAAATCTTAGTTTGCGGGAAGTAAGAGTATATACATGTATTTGGCGTCTGTTTTCTCTGGCCTGGAGTGTGCTAGCCTCCAGCTGCTGTCACCCTGGGTGAGTGTGTTAGCATGGAGAGGGAGCACTACAGCCAGGGCAGCCTGGACAGCTCCAAGGACCAGTGCCTGGTCAGGCCATGGTCCTGTGCCCCACACCGGGCCTGCGCCCCTCCCCACCGGGCACGCCCCCTCCCACCGGGCACGCCCCCACGGGCACTCCCCCCACCGGGCACGCCCCTCCCCACCGGGCACGCTCCCCGCACCAGGCACGCGCCCGCCACCAGGCCGCACAACGGCTCTGACGCCCAACGATCACCTGTCTGTCCACCGCCAGGCGCCATGCCGCGCCCGCCTCTCCTGCCCCCGCTGCAGCTGCTGCTGGCTGGGCTCTGGGCGCTGGCTTCCGAACCAGGTGAGCTCAGAGCCCACAGGGCGGCTCCCAGGGGCGGCCCTTCAAGTAGGCGGAGAGCAGGCTCAGAATCTGAGTCACGTCTGTCGTGCATGTCTCAGAACTCTGCAAGCACCCTAGCAACTCCACTGGACTCCAAACCCCGACTTCTCTGGTGACTGTTTGTCCCTACGTGACGTGCAGGCAAACATTCGTCCTGAACTACAAAGCAAAGAAAATAAGCTCCCCGCGCCCCGGTGACGATGGAGAGGATCCCAAGGAGAGGGACAAGGTCACAGATCTCGAATGTGCAGGGGCAGGTTAGATGCGCAGAGGGCGCCAACGGGTGGGTGTGCGCTGTTCCTTGCCTTTGTTGAGGCTGCCTCTGAAGGGCGCCCTTGAACCCCTCAGGACAGGTCTTTACCTCCAGCTCACAGTGCTCCGTTGTTTGCGAGTGACCACAAATGACTTCGCAGTTGTCTTAGTGAACTTGTTTCCCATCTCTTTGCTTCCCGTAGTGAGTTTGAAAGGTGGGGTCAGGGTGCCAGCGAGGTTGGGTTCTGGTGAGTGTTTTCTGTTTTGACCTACTGTATTGGAAATTAGAGATTGAAGAATGTATAGTAACTCGTTTACAACCGGAACATGCTTTTAATATGGTAACATAGCACACTTCAAAGATAAGAATTAACTGTTTTTCCAGGGGAAGAATAGAAAATTGGCATTGCCTTCCGTTTCTGAAGATCTCAGTCAGACACGCGCACGCTGTCCTACCCGCCCTGCCTTCAGCCTCTTGCTGTATGTTTGCTTTGATACCCAAAACTATTCTTGGTAGGCTACTCAGGTGCATGAATCCGGTCAGTTAAGCAGTAAAACTTGGTTTCAATATAGAATCTAAACCACAACAAGCTTTTTGTACTAAAATTCATTGGAATATCTATATTGAAGTTTGAATTTTACCCGTGTATATTTTTATGTATTATCTTTATTTTTTTAAACTGTGGGAAATATACAAAGCTTACCACCAGGCAGTTGTTTTTAAAGAAAAATCCTTAAACTTCATTTATTTGGGTACTTTCAGGCTCACAGCAAAACCGAGCAGGAAAGACAGTATTTGTGGCTGGCTCTTCTCCCCTCCCCCTCCAGCACAAGCCTCCTCTCAGGGTCAGCAGAAGGTGTAGTTAGGGTACAAATATGCTCATGGCCCTGCTTCATTGGTGTTCACTCATTAGGGTGCTGAGTGCCCTGTTCTACTCAGACACCATCACGTACTGTCATGCAGGAGAGTTTTGCTGCCCTAACAGTTCTGTGCTCTGCCTGTTCAGCCCTCCTTCCCACTATCACTAAACAGCCACTTACCTTTTGACTCTGTCTTTTCAAGAAGGTTGTGGTGATGGATAACTTCAGTTGTCACACCTGGGAAGAGGATGCCTGGGGTGGGGAGTTATGGTCCTGTGGCCATATCTTTGAGGCCTTTTCTTAATTGCTTGTTGATATGGAAGAACCCAGTTTATTGTGGGCAGTGACACCCCTGGGCAGGTGGTCAGGGTTGTATAAGAAAGCAGGCTGAGCATGGGTCAGAGAAGCAGGTCAGTAAGCAGTGTTCCTTCATGATCTGTGCTTCAGCTCCTGCCTCCAGGTTCCTGCCCTGACGTCCCTTAGTGATGAACTGTGACCTGATAGATGTAAGATAAAATAAACCCTTTCC